TTACGACAGGGCCATATGGATCCTGCAGGTGCTAGTCCTCCTGACCCCAGATTTGAGGCCATGGACCATAGAATGGACCAAATGGCTCTAGCGTTACAAACTTTGCTAGCACGTCCCAGTACCCAGTCAGAAGAAATACGTTCTACAGCTAGCCACCCGCTAAGTACTGGTTTGGAAGTAGCCACCGTAGGCGCATCTTCTCATATCACTTCCCCGTTACGTTATGGGGGTTCGCCTGATGCTTGTCGAGGTTTTTTAAACCAGATAAGCATACATTTCGAACTTCAACCCCGGGCTTACCCTACTGACAGGGCTAAACTAGGCTTCATTATAACACTGCTAATAGACAAAGCACTTAGATGGGCCAATCCCCTTTGGGAGAATGATAATCCTTTAGTCTACAACTATACTGCTTTTGTCACAGCGTTTAGAGGACTTTTGACCCCCCAGGAAGGAAGATTAATGCTGCCAGATCTCTATTACGCCTTAAACAACAGAATAGAACCCTTGTGGAATATGCATTAGAGTTTAGATCACTGGCAGCAGAGGTGAAATGGAACGAACAAGCTTTTATGGATGTATTCTTGAATGGGTTGTCTGATGAGATTCTAGATGAGATTGCCACAAGAGAACTTCCAGAAAATTTAGAAGATTTAGTGTCTTTCATTTCCAGAATAGATGAACGCATGAGACAGAGGCAGAATACTCGGGAAAGAGTTAGTAGACCTCCTGTAAGACTCGCTCCCTCCTTTCAGAACCCTGACTCCTATAATCCTACTCCACCAGAACCTATGCAAATAGGAAATACTCGCTTATCTGAGGCCGAGAGACAGTACAGAAGAAGGGAGGGTCTCTGTTTATACTGCGGGCGGAGAGGTCACCTACGTCTTAGTTGCCCTAATCGCTCGGGAAACGCTCGCACCTAAGTTCCCCTAGAGGACGGGCCTTGGGTGTTTCTATACTGTCCTCTATATATAATGATAAAGACCATAGGCTTCTGATTCCTGTCTCTCTAGCTTGGAAAAGTGGTACTATATCTACGATGGCGTTGTTAGACTCTGGAGCAGCAGAAAGCTTTATAGACCAAACTTTCGCTAATAAGCATTGTCTCCCATTCCAACTGAGAGATACACCCTTGGCCGTTGAGGCCATAGATGGTAGACCTTTATCTGAACCAGTAATATTCCATGAGACTAAACCCGTTAAACTTACTATTGGTATCCTCCATGAGGAGATGATTTCCCTCCTGTTAATATCCTCCCCGGCAGTCCCAGTGGTGCAAGGATATTCTTGGCTCAAGAGACACAACCCTCAGATTGACTGGGAGGGTGGAGAAATCGTTTCTTGGGGAACTGGTTGTAGAGAAAAATGTCTGCAGAGAGTCACTTCTGTTTGCCCAGTAAACTCTTATACCAACTCTTCCCAATCCACAGACGTTCAGATACCATCTCAGTATCTAGATCTCAAGTCTGTATTTGACAAGAGTAAGGCGGATACTTTACCTCCCCACCGGTCTTATGACTGTACTATTAAACTTTTTCCTGGTACTATGCCTCCTAGGGGTACGGTATACCCTCTGTCTACCAAAGAAAACTTAGTTTTAGAGGAATACATCAAGGAAAATCTAGACAAAGGATTTATTAGAAAGTCTTCTTCTCCGGCGGGGGCGGGTTTCTTTTTTGTAGACTATCGGGGATTGAACAAAATTACCATCAGGAATGCTTACCCCATTCCTTTGATTACTGAACTCTTTGACAGACTAAAGGGCTCCAGTATTTTTACCAAACTTGACTTGAGAGGAGCATATAACTTGGTGAGAATTAAACAAGGAGATGAATGGATGACAGCATTTAATACCCGTTACGGACATTATGAGTATACCGTAATGCCGTTTGGGCTATGCAATGCCCCGGCCGTCTTCCAAGACTTGATTAATGAGGTCCTTAGAGAATTTCAACACGAATGTGTGATTGTATATTTGGATGATATACTAATACATTCTAGGGACATTGACTCACATCACAGACAAGTCAGAAAGGTATTACAGAAACTTTTACAACATGGATTGTATTGTAAATTGGAGAAATGTAGCTTTGATCAGTCTCAGGTAACTTTCTTAGGCTACGTAATTTCCAAGGACGGGTTTATGATGGACCAGATCAAACTAAAATCGATTTTAGATTGGCCTTTACCCAAGGGACTCAAAGCCATACAAAGATTTATTGGATTTTCTAATTATTACAGACGTTTCATTAAAGGGTACTCCTCTGTTATCGCTCCTATCACTAATATGACTAAACAAGGAGCCGATACCAAAACGTGGTCTACTGAGGCGTTATCTGCATTCGAAACGCTCAAACAGACTTTTGCTTCAGCACCTGTATTAGTTCATCCTGATACCTCTCTGCCCTTTTTGCTTGAAGTTGATGAAAACAGGGATAGGCGCAGTATTGTCCCAAAGACAAAGTTTAGATAAGCCGTTGCACCCTTGCGGGTTTTTTTCCAAGAAATTATCACACACTGAAAGGAGATATGATATTGGTGACAGAGAACTCTTAGCTATTATTATGGCATTAAAGGAATGGAGACATTTGTTAGAGGGCACTGTTCTTCCAGTTACTATCTTGACTGATCACAAAAATTTATCTTACATGGGGGAGGCCAAAAGATTATCTGCCAGGCAAGCACGTTGGTCTATGTTCCTTACACATTTCAATTACATACTTACTTACAGGCCTGGTTCTAAAAACACCAAGGCAGACGCATTGTCTCGTCAGCACGAACCTATCACCATTACAGAAGACACTTTGTCTCCTATTGTTCCTGAAAACAACATTATCGCCAACACCAATGTCAAAATACACTCTCCATTGCTCGTAGATATAATGAACGAACAATCTCTTGCTCCCGAGCGTACTCTTGTGGGCCGCTTGTTCGTGTCTCCCAAATTCCAATTGGACATTATTCGTTGTTTTCACGATAGCAAGTTTGCCGGTCACCCCGGCATCCACAAAACTTGCTGCCTGATTTCCAAAGACTTCTGGTGGCCTAGTTTACGGAGGGATGTGGAAGACTTTGTCAAGGCCTGCGATATCTGTGTCAGGAATAAACTACCACGGGATCTTCCTTGTGGTCTATTGCAGCCCTTAGTTGTTCCCAACAAACCTTGGGCTAGTTTGGCTATGGATTTTATTGTTGATTTGCCAGTTTCCAATAGACACACTGTTATCCTCACGGTTCTTGACAGGTTTACCAAAATGGCTCATTTCATCCCCTTGCCTAAACTTCCTTCCTCACCCGAACTGGCCGTGATATTTGCTAGGGAGATTTTTCGTTTGCATGGTATTCCCAATGAGATTGTGTCTGACAGGGGGTCCCAGTTTATTTCCCGTTTTTGGAGATCCTTCTGTTCCCAGTTGGGCATCAAGCTGAATTTTTCTTCTGCCTATCATCCTCAATCTAACGGAGCAGCCGAACGCACTAACCAGAAAATTGAGCAATATCTACGTTGTTTTGTTTCTGAACACCAGGACGATTGGGTCGGTCTGATTCCTTGGGCGGAGTTTGCTCACAACAACCTTGTTTGTGGTTCCACTCGTAATAGCCCCTTTTTCTTGAACTATGGCTTTAACCCTACTATTCTTCCGTCGGTGTCTCCTTCCCAGGGTTTACCGTCGGTTGATGTTCATATAGCCAACCTGAGAAAGTTGTGGGATCAGACTCGACAAATTCTTACGCGTAGTTCCGCGGTGTTTAAGATGCATGCTGATAGGCGTAGACGGCCCGCTCCTGTTTTTTCTCCGGGTGATAGGGTCTGGTTGAGTACCAGACACATTCGCTTGAAAGTCCCTTCCTTGAAGTTTGCTCCTCGTTACATAGGTCCTTACAGGGTGTTGAGGAGGATCAACCCGGTTTCTTATTTGCTGGACCTGCCTCCTACTCTAAGTATCCCTAACTCTTTTCATGTGTCTTTATTGAAACCTCTTGTTTGTAACAGGTTTTCCTCCCGCTCTGCTCCTCCATCTTCGGTTCGAGTGGATGGTCAGGAAGAATATATTGTTAGGTCCATTCTTGATTCTCGTATTTCTAGGGGGAAGTTACAATACCTCATAGACTGGAAGGGTTATGGTCCAAAAGAGAGATCTTGGGTTCCTTGTGAAGACGTGCATGCTCCTCGTCTTCTTCGGGCCTTCCACGTTCGTTTCCCTTCTAAAGCCGGTCCCATCCGCCCGGTGGGCGTTTCTAGAAGGGGGGGTACTGTCAGGTTACCTGTTGGTGTTGCCTCCGAGGAGGACATCCTCTCTTCATAGGGGCTCCCCTCTCCTAGCATTTTGGCAATTCTGGCCGTTTTCGCGCTGGCCGCGCTAGCTCCTCCCCCTTTTATGACGCGACGGCTAGCGTCGATGTCATGACGTCATCATTAACGTGAAGTGCCGGGAACCGCAATTCCGGACCTTTTGGGAGCGTGGTCTCAATTAAGGTGACAGGGTATTTAAGGGAACTTTTACTACTGCTCATTGCCCTGTCGTGGTTCTAGCTTGCTAGTCACTCAGCGCGTTCTCTCTCTTAGTGTTTTCGGTTTTGACCTTGCTTGTACCTTTGTCCTGTTGCTCTCTCCTCTCCTTTGACCCGGCTTGTTCCTCGCTTACCTGTCCTCCGGCTCCCTCGACCTCGGCTTACCTTTTGACTATTCTTGTTTTGTCCATACGTTAGTCCGGTCATTCTAAGGTCCGGTATACGTACCTCCTCCTGTCCGCACTCTGCGTATTGGATCCCTGTCACTATCCTGACAGATACAAAGTACAGAGGTATGCATCCCCCTGCCAATTCGATCATTCCAGTTTGCACTTCGTCGAGAAAAGCAAGTGTGTGGAACAATATTGGGTCATGCAGAAATAGAAGTTCACGCTTAAATAAGTCATGACTTTGGTGCAACTCAGTGGATTTGGCAATTAATTCCGAATGCAAATTTGTTGTAACAACTGTGTCTTCCACAATAGTTAACACGTCATTATCACCTGATGAATATCGTTAATGTGTTGCTTTAGCGCATAGATTTCCATATCCAGCTTTTGGACAGTAATAGAGTTGGCTGCAGACATTCCAGTTGCGACAACTGCACCGACAGTGGAACAAACTAATGCAACAATTATAGCAGTGAGGAACCTTTTGGGTCGGTTGCTCATCGGAATAGAACTGGATACAAATGGTTTCCGAGCTTGCTCCAAGATGTTTCGCACACGGTCCTGTGCTCTTTGGAGGTGCATCTGGTACCAAGTCTGTAACTCAGGAAGCTGCATCGATGAAATGTTGTATGCCTTCTCGATGGAAATCTTGGGGTCCAAGCTGATGAACACACGTCGGGTCAGGATCCTCTTCTCCGTTAAGATGAACCCTGGTGTCTCTTGAATCAGGATGCCGGAGGATGGTCCCATCTCTGCAATCGGGTCGGTCCGTAGCTCTTGGCACAGGAGCAGTACGATCCAGAAACACGCCACATCCTTCTTGGCCATCTTTCGACAGTCACGGATCAGGAATTCGTTTCAGACTTATCTACTAATGATTCAAGGTTTGTTAAGCATACAAACTTATAACAGTGTGACATCACTTGGCCTAGGACAACACATTTTTATGATTCATCAACATATGTATTCTCTCTAATTCTATTTTTATAACTTCATCCCTCACTACATTTATTACTGACTCCTCAGCAATATGCCCATAGCAGTTAAACAAGCTAGTAACCTGCTTAGAAAATGTAGTTATTGGATGGCAAGGAAATGGTTAATGACATGAACGTACATGAGATCATGGCACATCACAACATTTCACATCATACTATACCACGTGAATCAAGCATTCATCCAGGTTAGTCGTTCACCCTTCTGCGTCTGAATCCGCACCTATAATCCTTAATTGAGATTTAGGATGACAAGCACGCAACTGGTTAATGTGAACCCACTTTTCAATAAAATCCCCATCCTTAGGAATTTTTATCTTGTACGCTACTGGGGAAATTTTGTCAATGATGACATATGGCCCTTTCCAAGAAGGTAAAAATTTATTTTCCTTAACTTGATTTTGCGCAAAGTTATACAGATAGACTTGATCTGTTATCTCATATTCCTTTTTTGTGGTTTGTAAATCGTAATAGGTCTTAACCCCTGCCGCTGCTTTTTCTAGATTCTTTTGGGCAAAAGCAAACGCATGCTCTAAATGCTTGCGCAAATCTTTGATATACTGATGCGTAGTGGCAGCATTGATCAAATTATGATCTGAAGTACGATATAGTAAATGCTGTGGTAAAACCATCTTTCTTCCTGTCATCAATTCAAAAGGTGACAATTTGGTAGCAGTGCTAGGTGTGGCTCTAATCGCCATTAAAACTAGGGGCAATTTAATGTCCCAGTCTTTACCAGACTCCTTAACATACTTCTTCAGAATATTAACGATAGACTGGTTATATCGCTCTACCCCCCCGCTAGACGCAGCGCGGTATGCAATATGTAGCTTTCGTTTAACACCTAGAATGTTCCACATCTTAGCCATTACTTCGCTGGTAAAATGACTACCTCTGTCTGACTCAATTCTTTGAGGCAGACCGAACCTGGAAAAGACATGGTTAATCAACAAAGTGGCGCACACGGTACTCATGTTCTCTTTACAAGGCAAACACTCTATCCACTTTGTGTACATACATGTAACGGTTAACATGTATTTGTTACCTCTTGAAGATCTTGTTACAGGACCTATAAAGTCAATTTGAATATCAGACCAGGGTAATGACACCCCCCTCTTCTGAAGTGGTGCACGATGGGTTGGACCATGGGGTTGATATTGCGGACAAATCAAGCATCCCTGACAGTATGTCTTAACATCCCTTAACATGTGTGGCCAATATGCATAATCATGCAATATCTCATATGTGATCTTATCACCATGATGCCCAGATGTAGGTGCATCATGTGCGTGTTGGAGCATTAACCCTCTGTATACATTTGGGACTACCCATTGTTGTATACCATGTTTAGAAGTTCTGACCAGTAACCCATCCATGATACTAAATTGGACTTTATATCTCATCAAGATTCGTAAATCTTCATTATCTTTGCAATCCTCATCTGTGATGGGATTGGCAGTAGGGTCTTCTATATGTTTATAGAATATACCTATGATGGGATCATTCTTTTGACTAGTAATCAGGTCCTCACTAGGAGCTTCTTGACTCCATTGCACGACATTTAAGTCGGCATTATCTCTAGCCTGTCGTCTAGTTATGGCTTCAACATGAATTGAACCCATAAGATCATCAATGTTTAGGGTTTCACCATTGATGGCAGCTTGTTTTGCCAGTGAATCGGCTAAGTCATTACCATCCTTGTCAATACCTTCTATTTTAGAATGGCCTTTGGTTTTCTTCCAATATATGGTTAAACCATTTTCCTTAACCAGTTCATCAATTTTACAAAACAATTTCCCATGTTTAACAGGTTTGTTATTGCTTTTCAGCATTTGGTTACGTTTCCAGCTAGGCAGGTATTCAACGAAACTGTTGCGAACATAGTTGGAATCAGTTATAATAACAAATTCTTTGATACCATATTCTATTGCCATTTGAATGGTCTTATATACTGCACAGAGTTCGGCTATCTGACTGCTTTTGGGACCAATATTGTATCCTATAGATACATTGGGATAATCACCTGTCCAGGCGATTCCGATACCTGCAACTAACTTCCGTTCAGCACCAACGACGTGGTGATATGAACAACCATCAATGTATACCCACGGTAGTGGTCGACAGTATTCCTCGTCATAAACTTTATAAGGAGATAGCAATTGCTCTTCTAGGAAGTCATCTCCGGTGTCATTATCATCCAGAGATGGAGCAGTACAGTCATGTAATTCTGCTAAACCTTGGGCAACTGGGCTTCTCTTATTATGTTTATAACGGACTTCTAACGGCCATCCCTGTAAGGATAGAGTCCATGCAGTAATCCGACTGTTAGAGAGATTACCGTCTCTAATTCTTTCACTCTGCAGATACTGTAGAGGTTGGTGAGCTGTTTCTACAATTATTTTCTCACCTTGGATATAGCTACGAAAATTTTGTAGTGCCCAGACAGTCGACAATAACGCCTTCTCACACGTGTTGAATTTAACTTCAACAGGTGACAAAGTCTTGCTAGCATATGCAATAACTTTGTTTAAACTGTCCTGCTTCTGATACAGAACAGCACTTATGCTTAAATCGGTATATCCTGTCTCCAGATAGAAGGGTTTACCCCCCTTCTGGGTATGCTAAACAGGGTGCCTGAGTGAGCTTCCTCCTCAGTTCACTTACCGCTTGGTCCTGAGGCTCCCCCCAGTTCCAGGTAGTTTCCTTTTTAAGCAGGTGTAAGAGTGGTTTAGTTATTTCTGCATAGTTATCTATAAACTTACGGGAGTAGTTAGTCATACCAAGGAACGATCTTAATTCCCTGATGTTTGAAGGTGTTTTAGCCTTTAGTACAGCTTCAACCTTCTTCCTCTGGGGATTTAATCCTTCAGAAGTTACCTCATGTCCGAGGAAATTGACATGGGTGTGACACCATTGTGCCTTTTGTAAAGACAGTTTAATCCCTGCCTCTCTTAACTGAGTGAGAACATGTCTAATCTCTAAGATATACTTATCAAAGGAAGTGCTTTTCAGCAAGACATCGTCGACATATGATAACGTTCCTCTCTCGAGTGCGTCAGGCATAGCTTTATGCATGAACACAGCGAATTCATGACCAGAGTTTATATAACCGAAAGGCATACGGGTCCAGGTATACTGCTGCTTTCCAAATGTGAAGGCCAATTTGTATTGGTCTTCATTATGGACTGGTACAGTCCAATATCCCTGCGCACAGTCAATGGCAGTGAATATTTTGGATCCCTGCATTTGTACCAAACATTGGTCTATGTATGGCGTTGGCCAACCAGACATATAGACGCGTTTATTTAGCTGTCGTAAGTCAGCGCATAAACGCCATTGTCCATTAGGTTTCAGAATCCCCAAGATCGGATTATTATACGAACTGTGCACTGGACGTATAATGCCCCTTTCCTTTAAATTCTGAATGATGTCTTGTAGACCATCATATGACGCTAATGGGAGTCTATATTGTTTGATAAATACAGGTGGTAAATTAGGATCAGTCTGTATTCTGGCTACGTGGAGGTTAGTTAACCCACAGTCGTAGGAATCTTTGGCAAAAATATCTTGGAATTCCAAAAGGATTTCCTTTAGTTGCTGCCGCTCAGCATCATTGGAGCAACCGTCAGCTAAAGATATTTGCTCTTCTAGCCTTTCCTGAAATCCTGGAAAGATTTCAGGCTGGCCTATCTCATAAGCTACTTCAAGCCTAGAAGTTAGGTCAGTTCGGTGTTGACTTACCTTTTCTCTTTGGTCGTGATACTCTTGTGATTCCTGCTCATCGAGCGGATGATCGAAGGTGATTGATGCTTCTTCGATTTTACATGAGCCTTCTTCAACGTTGAAGGGATACACAGATAGGATAGTGAATAATCCTTCTGGGGAGGAATGGAATATTTGATTGACAATTTCGTCCTCAGTTAAGTATTCTTCAGGGATGAGGCCTATAATTTGGTTTTGGAAACCAAATGTATAGTACTCAGCATCCAATGCTAGACCTAATAATGTTCCTTTTGATAAAGTAACACTATTGGGTGTAACATTGTTGACCATGATATAGGTGGGATTCTTACCAATACTTACCATTGGTGTATGTGTTACCACCATCCCTAATTGTTGTATCTTGTTGGATAAACAGATTAGGGCATCAGAGTTTTCCAATCTCTGACCCTCTTTGACCTGTAGGGGTAAAAGAAAGTTACTTGTCCCCTGTGGAATGGTTATGTCATCAGGAACTTGGATACTTACCGCATATGGGAGTATTTGTCCTGATTTCAGGGCGTTTTCCTCGTGTAGGTATCCACAAGGATTACCTTTTAACCTTGTCCACAAGTTGGAATTAATCAGGTCAAGGTGTATGGCAAAGCGATGTATGACATCATTGCCAACGTAAACCTGATAGCGAGGTTCGTCTATCACTAGGAATAAATGTTTAACTGTCTTATTTCCGATGGAAATAGATAGTAAACATTTTGCTATCACATTGTAACTCTCTGATTCGCCATCCAGGTTCTGGATCCACCTGTCATGTGGGGAAGCGTACCTGATCATTTTAGGATTAGCGATCTGCTTTAACAGACTTATGCTAATATAGCTGTTCTCACTCTGTAAGTCCAGCTTTGCATTCCTACTCCTTCCTAAGTCATTTATCTGAATAGGAAAGAATAAGTTGTTATTAACCCTTTCAATTCTGGCAAGGAATTGAGCATGACCTGCCAGATCTACAGATTCAACATAGTCCCTGTGGAGAGAAATGGTTAAAACATCACCTTCCAGAGAGACATTCTGGATCCTCTCTGGAGCAATTCTTAAGGAATGCTCATCTACAGGTGC